GTGTCCCGGACGCGAGTGCCGGGGAATTCGCGCACCAGCAGAACAAGTCTGGCGCCAAGTCGGACTGTGGACGTAACCCTCCGGTGCACTATGCTGTGCGCGCCAACACCAATGCCGCCATACTGGCACTCGCCAACGGCCTGCAGTACGAAGTGACGAAGTACAACCACAGCACCAGGACGCACGAGGTTGTCTGGGTCAGCCCCGGTCCTGGTTGCGTTCGGATGTTGCAATGGCTCGGCCCTAGCCTTGGCCACGATCGCGTGCCTACAGACATCAAAGCAGAGAGGCAGCCAGTCGCCAGGCGAGCTAAAGGGATAGTTCCCGGGCTCGGCAGTATGGGCGGCGACTCTGTTCGAAGACGGGGACGTGTGCAACGTCGCTGGGACCTGGACGGATCGTGTGGCGTCAGGGCATCTCCGACCCGACGAAGAAACTTTGTCTAGGGCTTACGAGACGTACTACGGATGCGGGAGGGGAGAGACGTGCGAGAACTTACGATGTCCCTCGTGCTGGGACGATGGTCATGCCTCAGCGCTCGAAGTCAACCAGATCGCGTGTTCCACATATATACGCGTCCCCCTCGTGGCGAGTTGCGGACAGGGTCGCTTGAAGGGCGGCGATGCCAAAACCGCGGACAGACCAGGGCCGCGCGATGACTGGGCCTTGGGGGACGGAGGTGGTGCTAATGTTGAGGTATACAACGGGCCACCGCCACCACCTGACGTTGGAACTGTTGCAACGGACTAATTGACATTGGTCAAGATCCTCTACATCTTCCTGCACGAGGGGAACCCTCGTTCCCTGAGCGGGGAGCCGCCTCCGCTTACCTGGTGGGTGCTCGGGTACGAGTATGTGGGGGTTGGTGAAGGAAACGAACGTGTGCCCGATTCCATCACGGGGCACCCAACCTTGCTCCTACGTGGTCGGGGGCGTCCGTTGGTCTTCCCCTTGGACGCCATCCGACGCCAAGTGCACATCTATCACCAATGCCCTAGGAGAGGAGATGTCGATCCGGGACAGGCTTTTGTTTGCGAACAAACCCAAGGGGAGGGTCGCACCACGCGCACTTGGCACCACAGATTCAGGCTGGCCATCCGGGCTCTCACAACGGCTACGATAGGTACCTTTTAAACGAGGTTCACCACAGCGTCAACCAGGACACTTTCGTTTGAGGTGGGAATGGATCTGTATGCTTCTCAACATTCGGATGTTGGGCCGGGACGCGGCCAAATAAGGCCCTCATTGTACGAGCCACGCATTAATTTTTCGTCTACGTAGAAATTGTACGGGCCCTGAATTCACTGTATACTTGTACGAGTACACGTCGCCGCCGCAGAGCTTGTAGATGTTGTTTTGTCGTCTTCCTTTTTGACAACGACTCGTTTCGTCCTGTGTGCATTGACGTCACAGGATCGACGGTTCTGATGGACCCGACGTGGCGGAGACAAACCCCGAGGGAGACAAACCAGGGTAAATAGTGCCCTTGGCCTCATGCTCATCATCGACAAAGTAGCACCACATGTTTGGTTGTATGTTGTATATTCGCGCGTTGTACGGACCTTTGTTTTAGTTTGCGCCAAGTGTCGTTCATCGATGCTTTTTTGCGTATCCTTGCGTGCTGCACACTTTGTAGTTAGCAGATTAAACCGCGGTAACCGTGTGACATCTGAACTACTATACCTCTTGTTGGGGAATTTCATTGGTGTCCGTGTTGGTATCTGTTCAAAATGTTTTCATTTTTTTTGGGTGGATATTGCATAAATGGAACGACACCTTTCGGAAAGCTCTTGACGAGACGGCTTCTTCAACGCCGCCGTTTTCGGCGCTGCCACTAATTCTGTTTTGCGGAGAAAAATCGAGCTCTGAAAAGCGGTTCAGGGGACGTGGTATCTTGTGTCACCTCCGGTACGTGCTGCGGATCTTTTTCTTTTTTTTTCCGTACTCGTAGACGGCCTCTGGAAATCAAAACACATCGTACTCCGGAGTATGCATATTCTGATACCATATTTAGTATAATACGAACACATATCGTCGGGTGAGGACTCTTTAATGGTGGTGCCTCTTTTGGCACTCTAAATACATGCCAGGTGGCACAGGGTATAGGCAATGCACCCCTGACCAGGGTGGTCTCTCCACAAGGTCTCCGGTACGGCGACCTTGTAGAACAAGAGTCCTGGCAGGGTCTCGACAGGGTCTGTACAGGGTGTGTACAGGGTGTTGGTCCCGCAGGGTACGCAAAAGGCGGAGCAAAGTGGCTACCAGTGTCCCTCTTGGCGCCACCTGTGGAGCTTGGGAATCCGAGACCCTCGGGCTTGGTCTCCCTCGCCCCTTCGGCGGCGCACTCTCTCTTGTCTCTCTCTTCTGAGACCCTCTCCTCTCTAAATCTCGACGAAGAGAACTGCCAGCCCTTAGTAGTGGGAAAAGACTACTGCGACCTGGGCCTCCCCCCCAACGAGGGAAGCCTGTGTCATCAGCTATGTGAAAACTGAATTTTGAATTTTCAAACATTCAACTCATGTGTTCATTGTTGTTTTCAGCTTTCAAGGGAAAAGGAGGATTGCTGAAATCTTGGCGGTTTGAAGGCCGTGCCGCCCATAGATAGTTCAGTGTGACCCGGAATCGTGGCCCCTCACAGCGAAAGAGAGGATATTACGGGTCAAGGCTCTAAAGCTTGCCATGCATACAATATCGTTAGACAAAAGAAGGGGACGAAAAACCTATCGGAGGAACTGGTACCGCGGACTATAGGAGATTGTACACAAGAAGTAAAAAGTGTATTATTGTATGCATTCGCACGTCCTTCCTACAGTAGCTCAGTCTCTTTGGTGTCCAGATCGACAATAAAAGGAGGTGTGCAGCACTGAGAACAACGTAAAAATACTTCATGAGCCCCATCCCTGACGTGCACATACATCCAGGCGTGAGTGAATCCTCTTGTCCGCCAGGATTGGCACCTCGTCGGCCTCCTTGTGTACGAATGTCGCCGGATTGCGTGTGTAGTGAACAAAACTATTTGGGCCTGGCAGCTGGGCCATGAAACAATAGCTCGGAACTATGTTTCAGTCCTACATACTCGATGCCGAATGAAGCATCAAAATATGTAGAGCGACCTTTTGCTCACTTGTTGAAGAATTTCCCCCCTATTTTATTCCTCTTCTCGACCAAGCAGCAACAGGATGCGTGCCGCGCAGCACCCCCGTGGGACGCCAACGTTTCGGAGATGCGGGGTGCGGTTGATTAGTTCGTCGCAAGGGACTACGTTCCCCCTGTATGGGCGCGTAACGCCCACCTCCACACCATCGTCGCCTCCGGAGACATGGAAAAGAAACTCCTCGGCGACAGAACGGTACGTTTGTGTTTACCTTGTACCATGAACACAGCAGGTTGTTTCATTTTGTGTCCAATTCAGCTCGCCAGAAACCTTTTTCGGTCGTCCGGAGTTCCTAGTGGAAGCAGCTGGTACACCAATAAGCTTCTTCAGCAGCGACACAGTAGAGGTGTCGAGAGCACCGATTCTGCCGCCCCGCACCTTTTTCGAGGATGGTGTAGGGAGGCGGCGGTCTACTGCACACGTGTGTTTTCCCCCTGAAAAGATAATGATCAGATCAAGGACCCGATGGCCCCAAGTGGTAGGAAACCTCGTGCTTATGACACCCTGCTTTGATGCACTCTGGAACGATCTATGTAGATGCCTGGTGAGAAAGACTGAACAAGCCATTGCTAGAACAAACGACATTAGAACGGAGAAATGCTGCTCTCGAAAGCATAACCTTTTGTCGGTCAGAGTGAAGCCCTCGCCGCGAGCTGTATCAGCAGAACTGTAAGCAGGGGAATAAGGAGGTAGACGGACATGTATGCTTTCATGTACGCACCGCAGACCAACGACCACACAACTCCTTTTAGATTATAGTCCCCGTGGGTACACTGCAGTCCGGGAAATTGCGTCATGTTGGAATGTTCCCTTTGATCGATAATTCGGGTGGCTCGGTTCTTTGTGGTTGGAGCTCAAAGCGGGTGGCTCATGGCGGAGCGTGGATGGGTAGGAAACGTGTTGAAAACGTAATGCAAAAGTATTGGAAAGTATAGTATTCATCGGGGGCGTGCCAGTGCTCGTCAAACCTTCACGGTATCTGGGCACGCCTTCACTCTTTGTCACTCAACGAATCTCTCTGAATCTCCACCAAATACCTCTCGCAACCAAGGAATATATGTAGAAAGTTCCTATCCCTCCGCATCTCATCACTGTTACTTTCGTACGTACGTACCGGACATCTCAACCGTCATACTATGCTACGAGTACTCCCAATATATCTAATAGCCCCCCTACTCGTATGCATCGTCATGCTCCGAGAAAAAG